ACATGTAGTCTCAACCTCCCAAATAGTTCCAAATTTCATCTCTATGATTATGACTTATATACATATGTCTTTACCCAGAATCCCGTCTCCAAACGTGAGACCCATATTTCTACCTGCTACCCTAGAACACCTCCACTTACCATGTCCAAACTTGAACCATCATGCATTTTCATTGCATCTGGCAGCCCCCACAGTGCCAAAAAATAGAAGGTATATTCACAACTTATTTGTTGGAGTTTAAATTCCATGAATGTATAACATTTCACTTTAGTTTCTTGTTCATGCACTTGCTGAAATGGAGTCAACAACCACTAGACATGATTTCTCCAAGAAAGCATAAGTACAACTGAATAGCTCCGGCTGCTACAATCTGTCAGTGTCTTGTGCATCTCCTCCAGAGCCCTAGAGAGGGTTCCTACCTAGTGACGTCTGTGTCAATGGCTCCGCCTTCCTCTCTGCCAGAAAGCTCCATTAAAGAAAGCAATATCTTTGTTTTATTCACAAACACAAGTGAATTACTTGGAGCAGAGATACTTAAACATATTTTATGAATCAATGAAATGAATAAAAATATTTATGGTCCTTTTGGATTTGAAGGCAGACTGAACATGTAAGAGCACTTTGTATCTCTTTAAGAGTATGAGTAAGACCCAACATTTAAAACACAGATTTTACACTCCCAAAGCAAATGAAAATGGAAGACAAAGCTGACCATACAGCATGAAGAATAAATTTTCTAAATACAACAATCATCATAGATAAAGACATAAATTCTAATTATTACAAATTAAAAACACAGTTTCTCTTGATTCAAAAGTACAGTTTCCTCTTGTTATTAAAAAATAATCTGCAAAAGTGACAACGCATTTTATAACTGAAGCAGAAAAAATGTCTTTGAATTGAGTAAATATTTACAAGCTTGAGGCCATTTACAAGTAGGTAAGACTCAACTGTGGAAGACTGGGTCTCAGTCTCCTTTCCAACTACCCGGGTTTTCTGTGACTTGAGGACACAGAGGGAGCACTGACTGACTTTCACTTCTTAACTTCCAGTTTGACAACGTCTGGGCACCGCAGCTGTATTCTTTCTTCCTCAGATGGAGACTGGTTCTTGGGAAATACCTCTTCACAGCCAGGCTGGAGCCCTCACTGCCCAGGAGGCTCTTTTCCTCCCCCATCTCCCGCACAAACTGGTCTCCAGATCTTCCACCTGCTGATCCAGTCCAGTGAGGACCTGCAGCTGTTAGTGCTGAGGAGGCTGAAGGTCTGCTGGATCGTCTCAGGGACAAAGAGGTGGCCTGAGCTTTTGGAACTGGCTGCCATCCAGCTGCTTCTGGGGGAACCTGATGTCATTCTTGTCCTCCAGGCTGGAAGACAAGAAAGACTCTCCCCATTGGTGCAGAACTGTGCAGGCTTCCTGCTTTGGCAGGCCATGGTTCTGGGCCAGGTCACAGCTATGGGTGCAGACAGAGCTGGACAACCTCATCCTCGGTGTCATCGGTGAAGAGGGTGGCCGGCCCCTGGTGAGCTTGGTGATGCAGATGTCTGGCCATGCAAGCCTTTATCCAGCTGCTCTGGGCACCTGCTGGCAAATGAGATTCTTAAATAGGCTGGAATTGTCATTTTCTGTACTTATCTCAATTTTGTTTCCACTTCTTTTCAATTTCTGGTCTATTTATGGGCCTCGGGTAACGTCATGACTTTAACACTTCTTTTGTATTATTACACTGGAAATTAAACACACGCAGAGAAAATGACAGAAGTCTCAATCCAATGGGATGTAGTCATCTAAATGAGACCCAATGTTGCAATTAAAACCAGAATCTCAATCTAGCTCACTCACTCTTTTTTTCTTTCTTTTCTTTTTTTTTTGTTCTTTTGCTGAGGAAGATTCACCCTGAGCTAACATCCGTGCCTATCTTCCTCTATTTTGTATGTGGGTCGCCACCACAGCATGGCCACTGACGAGTGATGTAGTTCTGCGCCCGGGAACTGAACCAGGGCCGCCAGAGTATGCCGAACTTATCCACTAGGCCACGAGGCCAGCCCCTAGCTCTCCTTTTTAATTCGAATAAGAAGAGGACTTGGAGGTTTGATCCTGGACGCCATGTTTACACTTCTTAACTTGCACCAAAATACAAGTGGCCTCACCCCTCTGTGTTTCCCTTTGGAGGAGCTAATATGTTTGATTTGAATTCTTCCACATTTCTTCACAGGAGCCATAGCTCATGTGTTCTGACATAGTCTACAGATAACAGTGGCATACAACTGGAACACAGGGGTTAATTCATGCAGTTCTCTTCATTCTGTCACCAGAAATATGCCGACTGCACACAGCTGACAGACATGTGTTTGGCAACGTGGATTCAGGGAAAGGAAGACAGGGATGCTGAGTGCCCTCCCGGGAGCAGGGCAGACAGACACTAAAGGCAGGAGAAAGTCCTCAGAGCTGGTGAAGAGGAGGGACCGGGAGGCAGCACCCTCTGAAAAGGCTCCACTTTCTGACAAAATCCGTGGATCCTGAATTTCGATGACACCAGAATTTCACGTCCTCTTCTAAAAACTGACACAACGTTAGTAGTGGTCACACAGGAAACTGTAAAGATTAAATACAGTTTGCAAATTACAGACTGAGGATCTGAACATAGTGAATGAGAGCTGCCTTTAGAAATGTCGATGCTAATAATCCATAATCAATCTATAAATCAAAACTGGGGTGAGTTTATTAGGAGCCACGTTGGAGGACTATAGCCCCGGGCCTTCCTACCCCAAAGAAGGAAGGAAGGAAGGGCACCCAAGAAGTGGGGTGTACAGAGTGCTTACATATCACATACCATCTTGGAACAAACAGCATACATCACATATGACAGGAATATCTTTTACTACTGTCACGAGATGCTCAGCTGACACAGCAGGTCGGTGGTCACCAGGTGAGCACAGCAGGCCGGTAATTAAGCCTTAGTCTTTAGGGAGAGATGCTTATCCTAAAGGAAATGCCAATATGGGGGAAGCTACCTCCCTGTCTTTAGGGGCATCATTCTTGTCTTTGGGGCAGAGTAAATGTTTAAAGCAGATGTACAGTGCAGCCTCCACAGGCCACATCAGGACCTTTTGGAAAAACAGGCTGAATTAGTTTTACACCAAATGGCTTCCTCTTACACTCCAATATATCCTATTGCTTTTCATTTATTTACCAGTATTAATACCACATATGATAATCTGCAAAGTCCACGTTCAGCCAAGTCAGAGAAGGTTTGATTGCAGCTCCCTTTAGACTCTCAGGGCTCTGTATATGGAGGTCCCTCAAATAAACTCTAGGAGACGGGACTGTCTGCAGGACTGTGGCGGAGCAAAGCCCAAGTTCCTCCCTTAGATCAGGGCCCGGCACTTGCAGGAGAGAAATCTTAGAGCACATCTGAAGCTCTTTGCAGAGAATCCGCCTGGAGGAAAGTTGTCTAACCAAAAATGGCTGCTCTGTGAACAGCACAAATGAGATAAATAGTCCCTTTCCTGCTCCTCAGTTTCAGACCTTCTCTGATGATATTTTTAATGGCACAGGTAAAAAAGAAAAAAAGTTACAGAGACCAGGGAAATGGTTAAAAAAAATATGGGGGAGAGGGTGAGGAGAAATAGGACACCCTTCGATTTTCAGCCGGGGAAGATCACAACGCTAAATCAAAAGCCACTTCCCCGGTTAGCATCAAGGTCAAGTGAGCAAGTACTTCCCTCAAGCACGGAAGTTGAGGAGGCACCAAATCTAAGTCATCAAGATAAATACTATTTTAATCCAATATTAAAAAGTGAAAATTAATGCCAAAATATCCGTGATGAACAAAATATCAAAATTTTAAATAAAGACAAGAAATGACCCTGCCCTGCAAGGCCCTGCGAGTCTCACGAAGGAAGGGGGCACCGTGTCAACGAAATGTAGGCAAATTCCACTCAGTCTGTAAAATCCTTACCAAAGCAAATTCAAAGCCCTGACCTGCTGAATGTCCTCAGCGGCTTGTACACAACACTAATTTTTCTCCAACAATACAGTCAAGGTGGGGACCTGTGACAGTCCTTTCAGCAACGTGAAGTGAAAAAAAATTATTTACGATTGTCAGGGTGCCCCGAGAAATTGGCAATCCTCTCAACTGAAAACAAGTAAAGAAGTAATCTTGAAAATATTATCGAGTTTACTTCCATTCAACCTAGGAAAG